CAAAATTTTCAGGTGATAAGTTTTTTCCCACCCCAGCACATTAATATATTATTCCATTGTTTTCTGGCTTACAAGGTTTCTGCTGAAAAATCTTGTTAAGGATCTTTTCTAAATGACAGGTCACTTTTCTTTTACTTTCAGGATTCCTCCTTTGTCTTTGTCTTTTGAGAACTCTCTTCTTCTAGGACTCTCATGATGCTTATGTTGGTGGTACTACAAAAGTTCCATAGACACTGTTCACATTTCTTCATTCTTTCTTCTTTTTTCTCATGTTTGCTGATTTTTTTTCTTGGATAGTGGTTCTATCCAAATCTGGTATTGAACCACTCTAGGGAATTTTTAAATTTAGTTATTGTATTTTTATATCCAAAATTTTGTTTTGGTTCTTTTAAAACATTTTTATATCTTTGTAAATACTCTCAATTGTTTTCTCCATCTCTGTTTGCTGGGAAAAAAAATTGAATAAGATGACATTATTTCTTTCTTAAGTATTTGATAGAATTCATTGGTAAAACCATTAGAAAATTTACTGTTTGCTATTTGTTCTATTTATTTGTATCTGTACCATATATTCAACAAATTCTTATACCGTACCTTCTCTATGCCTGCCTTTGGAATACATTAGTGAACAACATGGATAAAAGTTTCTGTCCTCAGGAGCTTACATTCAGTCCTCATGGAGCTTACATTTCACTAGAGTAGAAAAAGAATGAATAAAACATAATAAACAAGAGGTAATGCAGTGTGTTAGGAGGTAGTCAGTGCTATGAAAATAGAGCACATTAAGGGAGACTAAGCTAGAATGCAGGATGAGGTGGAGGAGGGCAGGAAGAGATTTTATATATGATGGTCAAGTTGGTACTTATTGAAAAGAAGATTGCTGATGTAAGGCAGGGCTATCTGGAGAAAGAGCATTCCAGACAGATGGAAAAGACAGCACAATGGGAGATCATTTTTGCTATGTTTTAGAATGAGTATGAAAGCAGTTTGTTTCTTTTATTAAAGAAGAATTAAGTGCAGGTTTACAAGAGCAGTCAGATAATTGTTGGGATGAATGACTGTCAAGATCCTGAAGTAAGATTTTCTTTTCTATTATTTTATGGTCTTTTTTTTTTTTTTACCATGAAAAAGGAGTCAATAGCTGAACATATAATAAATCAATTTTAAAAATATGTTTTTTTTTGCTGTGGCCAGTTTGGCTCAGTGGTTAGAGTGTCAGCCTGTGGACCAAAGGGTCTCGGGTTCAATTACTGGTCAAGGGCATTTACTTTGGTTGCAGGCTTGATCCCCAACCCTGGTCAGGATCATGCAGGAGGCAACCTATTGATGTGTCTCTCTCACATTGGTGTTTCTCTCTCTCTTTCTCTCTCCCTCCTTCCTTTACACTGTATCTAAAAAAATAAACGGGGCCCTGGCCAGTTTGGCTCAGCCGTAGAGCATTGGTCTGTGGACCAATGAGTCACAGGTTCGATTCTGGAAAAAGGCATATACCTCAGTTGTGATTAGTCCCCAGCCCTGGTCAAGGTCATGAGGAAGATGTGTCCCTCTCGTGTTGATGTTTCTCTCTCTCTCCATTTCCCTCCCTTTCTCTCCCTCTCACTCTGTCTGAAAATAAATAGAAAAATATCCTTGGATGAGGATTAAAAAATAATAATAAATAAATGGAAAAATATCCTCAGATGAGGATTAACAATACAAAAAGATGGTTTTTCATTTTTCACATGTAGCTTTGTAAGTAACTTTTCAGAATTATGGTAAATACATATCTCAAAATACAGTAAATGTATATGACAAAAATAATTCTTTAGTTTACATAATTACATAATTAAGAACTTAATTATGTTTTAGTTTTATGAGTTAGAGAATTATTTTTAGTCCATGTGTGTTAAAGGTCTAGAAAAAATATGAATATTCATTGCTTTGTAGAATGCAATTTACTGTAGTCATTAAATAATTAGTTGTTTACTAACTGTGGCAGTTTATTTTATTCTTAAAGAAAACAACTGTTTATAATGGGAAAAGTATAGTTTAGGAGTCAGAAGACTTGCTTCTACTTTAATTCTTGAAATATTTAATGTTTTATTTTTAAGAAGTCATTTTAGGTTATATTTTACCTACTTGTTAGGAATTTTGTTTGTTTTTAATTGGATTTGACTAAGTATATTCTGAAGCCAAAATACCATTGTGCTTTTGTCATTCTGTAATTATTATTTTATAATATAACAGTGTACTGCTATAAGTATTTGTTTAATTGAAAACTTTTAAAAAGGAAATTTTATTTCAGACAAACTCGTGCTCATGGTTAATGTCCAGTTCTAATACTGCTTATTTTCTGTATCTTTTCATGATCACTTCAGAATTAATTTCTTCTTGACCTTGGCTACTATAGCACTTTATGCATATTTCTATTATTCATTACTTTTAATACAGTATTATAGGTTCAAATTTATTTATCTCTCCATGAATTGCCTATCTTTGTATCCTCAAAAGTATAAAATACTTTGTATTTATATGGTGTTCAGTCACTTTTTAATTGCATTTTTATACCTGTATATTTAAAGACCAATAATTAATTCCTAATAGTTAATATAGCAGAAATTAAAATTGTGTTCAATAGTATCACTGCTTGAAAGGAAGTATTCCATATAAAGAATGTTTCTCATGGTTGAAAACTCCTGTTTCAGGCATTTAACAAGATTTAAGTTGGTCTTTTGGTCTAACTTTCTTTTTAGATGGATGGCATAAATGCTATTTGCCTGCCTTAAATAGATAGATATAAGAAGTAGTTATCTTGTCATTGATTGTGAAATCACTGAAGTGGATGATTTTTACTGATTACCTCCTACTTGGTTTTTGCATTTCAGATCAGAGGCACAAATTTCCTAAGTGTTCTAAGAACTATTCATGAGTGTGTTTTTATGTAGTGATGTAATTTTTAGCAGGTATTCATAACCATTTACTCCATTATGTGCTCTTACATATCATGAATTAGAATACGACACTTTTTTGTTTAGATTTAAAAATTCTTTTCAGCTCTTCCTAATCCTAATTTCTCTCCTGTTTTTTCAAAAACATCTGTTTGAAGAACCATATTTATTCAACAGCTATATTTAACTTCTGTGTGCCAGGCAAAGAGTTAGGCATTATTAGATTTAGAAGTGAACAAGATAGATAAGATCTCTGCTGTCAGAATGAACAAATAAACAAAATTTTTCCATTTAGCCAGCATTTACCAATTTCCTACTATGTGTTAGGCATTGTTCTGGTAGTAAAAATAACAAAGTCTATATACTCTTTTTGTGGGAAAGGCTACCTTTATATAGGTTGGTCAGGAAAGACCTGTTCTAAGAAAATGTTATCTGAGCTGAGAAGGAACCAAAGGAAAAGACTAATCGAGGCCAAACAGCAGTTGCTGATGATCTGAATGAACTCAGTGTGTTTCATGTACACTGATTTGTAGTTTTCAAAATGATAAGATTAAGGAGTGTATTATTGGTTCCATTTTTTTCAATTAATTATTAAATGAGGGCATCAGTTGGGAAGTTTTTGGGGGGGGGTAGGTACATAGTAAAGAGGGAACAATTTGAGGAGAGAAAAATTAAATGAGAGATCACTGTAAAACAGTCACTTCAAAGAGGGGAATAGTCAAACCAAGGAAGTGCATTTTGTTGAGGGTGTACTTGTAGGCTTTTTTATCCTGAATTTAAAGTGCAGCTAGTCAACATGGTTGTGCGGTTTTCTCCAGGTACAGGGACAGGTGACAAGAAGATACAGTGTTTAACCAGAGTTGGGTTTGTTAACCCCTGGAAATTATGGTGAAGAAAGAGAGGAACAAGTGTTGGAGATGTTAATTAGGAAGTCACAGTGATTCAAGCTGTAGAATTTGTGCTGGGGAAGAAGAAAATGAAGAGGGAATGAAGACCAAGAGATTTGATAGTGAGGAATCAATGGATTGATGGTGTGGATGAGTTTGAAAGTTGTGGTCAGACCAGTGAATTTCAGGGACTGAAGTGCTGGGAGTTCTTTCTGTTTCATTTTTAATTTCATACAAATGGTTGAATGTTATATAGGGAGAATGTGGAAGGTAAAAAGCACTACTTGGAAATCTCAGGTTAAAAATAAAACCTCCTTTTTAAAGTCTTGACCTCATTGGCCATATTCCCCTGATTATTCCAGCCCTGTGCCAGGTGCTGGGCATAGTGTATTATCAGATAAAGGTAGGCACAGAATGCTGTTGGAGCACAGAGGTGGGTCATGGAACCTGAATGGGATGGAGAGTGGTCACATTTCGAGGAAATAACTTTTAAGCTAAGAGCTGAAGGATAAATAGGAGTTTGAATTTAGCAAAGGAAACATGGATGGAGGTGGGAGGGAATAGTGTAAAATAAGATTCTCAAGTAAGAAAGAAAGGAACTGAAGGATCGTGAGTGGGTGGATTGTAGTATATGAGAGAAGTGTGGAGACATGAGGCTGGGAAATTAAGAAAGAGCCATATTTAAAGGACCTGGTAGTTTATGTTAAAGAAATTTCATCCTAAAAACAATGAGGAGGGACCCATTATTGGGGTTTACATAGAGAAGTGTTATAAGACAGGATCACTTTAAAGTGGGGGTTTGCTTTGATGAATAAGTTAAATTTTATCATCTCTAAGCATCATTCTAAAGTTCTTTCATATCTAGGTATAAAACAGTAAATCAAAATATTTAAATATGTACCTCTTATTTTAATCTGAAAAGAATTAATAGTAATTAATATGGGAATATATTAAACACAGAAATAAAACCTTTATTACAACGTATTATTAAATTCATTTTAATCTATTTGCAAAAAGAATTAAAATTTCTATGACTGAGTACATTTATTTACTGGTGTATATTTTCCATCATATCAATGAAAATATTAGATGATTTCCCATGAGTTTGTGTACCATTTAATATCCCAATCAAATGGAGATGAATGAAACTATGTACTTTTTCTCTCTAGTGATTTAAACTTTCGAGATGCTTCCATTAACTGGAAAAACAATCATTTTTGATAACTTTCCTGATCCTTCCGATACATGGGAAATCACCGAAACAATCGGCAAAGGAACTTATGGGAAAGTTTTTAAAGTGTTGAATAAGAAAAATGGCCAAAAAGCAGCAGTCAAAATTCTGGACCCAATTCATGTAAGTCACATTGTTTTTATCATGTAATTAACTTTGTTTTTGTCTATGTTAAACAGTCAGAAGTCTGTAAGTGCTTTATCTTGATTTATTTGTCACAATGTCGGTTACAATTTGAAGAAAATATGGGAAAAAAGTCTGACTATTAGATTTTCCTTGTTTGTATGCCTGACATATAAAATAAGGCTCAATAAATATTTGATAAATGAATAAATATATAATACAAATAAATACATAAATTCATCTCCCAACAGCTTAACAGATGATTTAATATTATTTTAGATTTCAAAATATTGTAAGAATAGACTCATGGGTCTAGAAAGTAGTCCTACAGCCCTGGCCTGTTTGGCTCAGCGGTTGGAGCATCGGCCTGCGGTACAGAGAGGCCCGGGTTCGGTTCCCACTAAGGGCATGTACCTCGGTTGCAGTTTGTCCCCGGCCCTGGTTGGTTGTGCGGGTGGCAGCCACTCGATGTGTCCCTTCACATCGATGTTTCTCCCTCTCTCTCTTCCTCTCTCTCCCTCCCGCTCTGTCTGAACAAAAAATGGAAAAATGTCCTCGGGTGAGGATAAAAAAAGAAAGAAAGTAGTCCTACAGTGTCATCAGGATCAGACATCCTTTTCTTGTTGCATTTATTTAGGCTGCAGGAAGAATTTTCTTCAGCCAAGTCAGAAATATTTCTCAAAAATTAAATTTTGGCCCTAGTCAGTGTGTCTCAGTTGGTGTGAGCATCCTCCCATACACCAAGAGGTCATGGGTTCGATTCCCAGTGGAGCGCATACCCAGGTTGCAGTTTTGATTTCCTGGTCCGGGCCCATGTGGGAGACAACCGATTGATGTTTCTGTCTCTCTCCCTCTCCCTTCCTTTCTTTCTAAAATCAATAAAAACATGTCCTTAGGTGAGGATCTTAAAAAATTAAATTGTTCAGAGAAGGGGAATTGACATTCGGATTTGCTGGCATGTTTTCAGTGGTGTTTATTATCAGGTTGAGGTTCCTTGTGAAGAACTGAATTCTGGGTTCATCTGAGCAGTGCCCCAGCGGGATCTCCGTTTGCTTTTTCTGGAATAGCAGGTTTGATAGGGGACCTACTAGGCCTCTTCTGTGCCTTGAAGAGCATGCGGAGATTGACAAGATTCTGTTTTCTGGGAGTGAGAGCTGGCTGTTTGGAGCATTTTCAGCTACTGGGAGATAGGTAGCTCTCTCATAGCACATGGATGATCAGAATGAGCCAAGTGATCACATAATCCCCGAACTTCTGTTGAGAGCCACATCTCTAATTATACCACTCTGCACAGGTGATGGGAGTGTGGCCTGCTGTAAATGATGTGATTTCTGGGTGGGGACACTGGAGTCCTAGGCCTCGTCCCAGCTCTCCCACTAACGGCCTGGAGGACACTGCAAAATTCTCTGGGCCTCCGTTTGCTCATCTTACGACTGAATTTTTTTTAAAATATAGTTTATTTCTCCTAAACCCATGCAGTGTTTCTATTATTTTGAGTAAAGAAGAAAGAGAGTGTTTTTTTTAAGTAATTAAGTGATAATGAGGAAAAATAACGAGTAGCACTATGCCCAGTCTTAACTGTTGCTGAATGTGTTCTCATTCCCCTGTTGGAAAGTTCTTACCATTTAAACTGAGGGAAGAGAGAACCAAGTTAAGCTGTACCAGAAAGACTGTACCTCTCTCCTCTAGTCTTTGCAATTAAGGGTTGGGGTTCATGGTGGCAAGAGTAAGTATTGCAGACAGATCCCAATGTCTGATTCTATGGCCAGGGTCTCTCTCCCATTCTGTTTCTCAGTGGAGAAGAACAAATGGCTTTCATAATATTCTCATGTTTGGTATACTGCTAACCTAATAAATCATGCTTTTGTTGTATCACTTTAATGGAACATATTGATTACATAGCTTTAGTTTGAAATTTGTTCTTTTGCTGCTTTTATTCTTGTCATAGTACCTTTGTGGTTTTCTAAGAATTATTTACTCTTCATTCATCATGTCACAAGTCAAATAAAAAAGATTTATGACCAAGAGATTATCATCTAAATAAAATAAATTTAAATGCATCCAAGCATTTCACAGAGTGGCTTTTTTTGTTAAAAGGATCTTATTATTATGGGTTTTGAACTAGTAAATTTCTCTCTGAGAAAAGGATGGAATGAGCAGGATTGGAAGGCAGTAAGCTAGACTTGCTGGATCTTCCACTAACCAGTTCTGTGACTCTAACTTCTCTGAGCTTTCGTTTCTTCCTCTCAAATTAGAACTATGGTCTAAAGTCATTTCCAGCTCTGTGATTCCATGATCTGTTTTAAAACAATGTGGACGTGAAACATTACTGTAAAAAACAGTATTAGGAAGCTTTCTCTTATTTATTTCTCTGCGAATTGTTTTATGTATATATGGTTTTCTAGAAACATGACTAAGTGGCTGCCTTGCACTTTTATTGACAGGATAGCAACCAATTCTCCTGCCGAATGGGCCGTTAGCTAACTAAAGGCTATAGGCCATTGCATATACTTTAACTGCATTTTGCTTTTTTGGAAAGGTAGGGATTTATTGTTTGTATGACTAGTTTTTGATAGCTTCTAAATGTCCTGTTTTTCAAAGAAATAAAATGAACTAGCTGAAAGTTTTTATTTTGAATCAATGGCTTTCCCATTGAAACATAGTTAACCCTACAAAGAAAAGGAAATCAATGATCTACAACAGTTCACCATATATGTTTCTTCCTAATTACACACCAAAATAGCCTTTTATTTTACCCTTTTTATTCAATGTAATTAACATAATCAGAGAATTCTAGTCTCTCCCTTTAAACAATGTAATGAGAAATTTCAATACATAAGTATTGAGCACAATAAAAACCCTTTTGACCATGCTTTGACAAAATTAAATTCTCTATTTGGTGGTCTGTAATATGTTTCTTTGATGTCATACATGCTTTTCTCACAGTTCTCTTCCTATGACTTTTTGAAACTAGGATATTGATGAAGAGATTGAAGCAGAGTATAACATCTTAAAAGCTCTTTCTGACCATCCTAATGTGGTCAGATTCTACGGGATGTACTTCAAGAAGGATAAGATAAATGGAGATAAGCTTTGGTTGGTTCTTGAGGTAAGTGTTTCAATATTATTTTACAGGTAGAAACCGGCAGCGTGGTCTTGGACTGACATGTCTATGTAACATCAGTACCACAAAGCAGTGTGTTCCTGACTGGTCACGTCCTCAGTGGAATGTTGTGCCCAATGCTGGCCTTGTCCTCTTAAGACACATTGGAAATTAAAGAAAAGCCTCAAAGATTATTTAAAATTAAAAGGAAACATCTCCACAGTAAAAGACTAAAGAAACTAAGATTATTTTTCTTGCAGAAGAACAAGCTTAAAAGGGACTTTGTTATAATATTTATTTATTCATCCATATTTTGTTCAACCAACACATGACTGAGGCTCTGTGCCAGGTGCCAGGATAGAAAAGAAAATGAATTTAAATGAGGCTTCATTATGCAAAAATGGTGAGCTGCATTTTCTAGTTTTGTTTTTTTTTCTGTCCTCATTGAATACTAATGACATAAATTACAAAACCAGGTATTTACATTTATGGGGGGAAAAAACCATAGTAGAACTAGTGTTGAATATCGACCAAGCTGCCATAGGAAGCTGTATATTCTGCCTTTTATTTATTCGAATTTTTATTAATTTATTTTTGTTACAGATATTTCTCATCCCCCCCCCCACACACCCTCTTCCCCACCCCCACCTCCCAGCATTGTTGTCTATGTCCACTGGTTATGCATACATGCATATAAGTTCTTTGGTTCATCTCATCCATGCCCCTGCTGCCCTACTCTGAGGTTTGTCTGCCTTTTTAAGTCCTGAGAACATTCAGACAGCTCTCTCTCTCTAGGACATTTTTGCATTTATCTTCAGATGGAGCAGGAGGAAGAGATGGAGGAAGAGAGAGAGAGAAACATCGATGTGAGAGAGACACATTGAGTGGCTGCCACCCACACGACCCCGACTGGGGCCGGGGACAAACTGCAACTGAAGTACATGCCCTTAATGGGAACCGAACCCCGGACTCTCTGGTCTGCGGGCTGATGTTCAAACTGCTGAGCCAAAAAGTCCAGGGCATGGACAGTTCTCTTTAATGCAGAAGGTGACCTGCGCAGGTAACTGCCAGTCCTAGAAGAAAGTGGTTTTACTCATTTCCATAGAATATCATTATTCAAGTGATTTAAGAATTTTTAGACGGAAAAATGGCGGCGGAGTGAACGGAGCTACACAGACCGTCTCCCAGAACCAAACTGGAATTACAACTATAACACAGACAAATCAACGGGAAAAAACGAACAGAAAAGCAGCTTGCGAGGACCATACAACGAGGGACACTGACTCGATCCCGGTAGGCTTGCGAAGGCGCGAGACAAGGGCTGGGAGCCCACGGTCGGCAGCTCGGCAGCGGCCTCAGCTGGGAGCAGCGCCCTCGGGTTACACTCCCAGGCGGCTCCACAGCGCAGAGCGGGACAGAGGCTGAAACAGCCACAGCCACTCACCTTGGGCTCCGGCAGAGTGAGGGCAGACTGGACTGGAGCTGTGTCGGGACACTCGGGGTTTGGAGGGCGCTCAGAGCATTGGCTGAGTGCAGCCACTCAGGACGGTGGCCACATTGCTCCTTCCCAGGGCTCTGAGGAGAGGCAGCAGTCCCTCCTTCGGAGACCCAACCCCACCCTGTGGGCCATTGAAGTGTTAATTGAGGCTCACTAACAACCAGCATCTGCCCCACCCTCGTGAAAGCCCCTTGGCTGAGCACCAGAGGGAGTTTTTCAATCAACTGACAACCCAAAACTCATCAATTAACCTAGACTGCTAGCCTCCAGGCAAAAAGCTAGATGATAACAGTGCGTTCCCTGGGCTGGCAACTTTAATCAGGAAAGTAAGACTTGACAGTGGTGTTCAACGTGGGTCATCCCTCGCTCATCTAAACACAGGAGAGGGAGCCACAAACAGCAGAACACCAACACCCACAGGGAGAACTTGACAGGCTCCAAAGCCCACAGTGATAGCCAAAATGGTGAAACACAGAAACAGAAGCCAAATGAAAGAGCAAGACACCTCCACCGAAGATGAGATCAATGTGGAGCAATTAGGCATGTTAACAGAGCTAGAATTCAAAGCCATGATCTTGAGGAAGCTGAACAGTATGAGTAAGGACATAGAGACACTGAAAATAAGCCAATTGGAAATTAAAAACCAACAAGAAGAGATAAAAATGACATATCCGAAATGAAAAACACATTGGAAGGTTTAAAAAGCAGAGTAGGGGAAGCTGAGGACCGGATCAGTGAATTAGAAGACAGGGTAGAAAAAATCAACCAATCAGAAAAACAAAAGGAAAAAACTATTAAAAAACAGGAAGACAGCTTAAGAGAACTATGGGACAACTGGAAACGTAATAATATTCGCATTATAGGAGTCCCTGAAGAAGAAGAAAATGAGCAAGGGATAGAGAATATATTCAAAAAAATAGTGAGAGAAAACTTCCCTAATTTGGTGAAGGAAGAAGACATTCAAGTTCAAGAAGCACAGAGAGTCCCAAGTAAGAAGAACCCAAACAGGCCCACACCAAGACACATAGTAATTAAAATGCCACAAATTAAAGACAAAGAGAGAATCCTAAAAGCAGCAAGAGATAACCAACAGGTTACCTACAAAGGGAACCCCATCAGGCTCTCAGCTGACTTCTCACAAGAAACACTACAGGCCAGAAGAGAATGGCATGAAGTAATCAAAGTCATGAAAAACAAGAATCTGAATCCAAGACTACTCTACCCAGCAAGGCTATCATTCAAAATAGAAGATCAAATAAAGAGCGTCCCAGACAAAAAAAGGCTAAGGGAATACATTAGCACCAAACCAGCACTGCAAGAAATGTTAAAAGGACTGCTGTAATTAGCAGTAGAAATGGGAAGAAAAATAGAACCACACTAAACAAAAATGGCAATAAATAAGTACATATCAATAATCATCTTAAACGTAAATGGATTGAATGCTCCCATAAAAAGACACAGAGTAGCTGATTGGATAAGAAAGCATAACTCATCTATATGTTGTTTACAAGAGACCCACCTCTCAACAAAAGACTCACATAGATTGAAAGTGAAGGGATGGAAAAAAATTTTCCAAGCAAATGGAAAGCAAAAAAAAGCTGGGGTAGCAATTCTCATATCTGATAAAATAGATTTCAAAATGAAGACCATGACTAGAGACAAAGAAGGCCACTACATAATATTGAAAGGATCTATTCAACAGGAAAATATAACCTTGATAAACATATATGCACCCAATATAGGAGCACCAAAATATATTAAAAATCTTCTGGAGGACTTCCAAGGAGAAATCGACAACAATACAATCATAGCAGGGGACTTCAACACCCCGTTGACAGCACTGGATAGATCCTCTAGGCAAAAAATTAGCAAGGAAACAGAGACTCTAAATGAAGCACTAGACCAAATGGATTTATTAGATATCTACAGAGAATTACACCCCAAAACTACAGAATACACATTCTTCTCAAGTGCACATGGGACCTTCTCAAAGATAGACCACATGATAGGACACAAACTAAATCTCTACAAGTTCAAGAAGATTGAAATCATATCAAGCATCTTCTCAGATCACAATGGCATGAAACTAGAAATCAATTGCAACAAGAACATGCAAAGACATTTCAACACATGGAGGCTAAATAGCATGTTATTAAACAATGAATGGGTCACCGAGGAGATCAAGGAAGAAATTAAAAACTTCCTGGAAACCAATGAAAATGAAGACACAACAACACAAAATCTATGGGATGCAGCGAAAACAGTTCTGAGAGGGAAGTTCATAGCACTACAGGCCTACCTCAAAAAACAAGAAAAATTTCTAATTGACTGTCTAACCTCACAACTTAAAGAATTAGAAAGCAAACAAAAAGAAAACCCCAGAGCAAGTAGAAGGAAGGAAATAGTAAAGATCAGAGAAGAAATAAATGACATAGAGACCAAAAAAACAATTCAAAGGATCAATGAAACAAAGAGCTGGTTTTTCGAAAAGATAAACAAGATTGATGGACTGTTAGCTAGACTTACCAAGAAACAAAGAGAGAGAACCCAAATACACAAAATCAGAAATGAAAGAGGAGAAGTAACAACCAACACCACGGAAATACAAAAGATCGTTAACAACTACTACGAACAACTATATGGCAACAAATTCGACAATCTAAGCAAAATGGACAAATTTCTAGAAACACACAGTCTCCCAAAACTATTCCCGGAAGAGATAGAAAACTTGAACGGACCAATAACAACTAAGGAAATTGAAGAGGTAATCAAGACTCTCCCAGCAAACAAAAGCCCAGGCCCAGATGGTTTCACGGGGGAGTTTTACCGAACATTCAAAAAAGAACTAACACCCATTCTCCTCAAACTATTTCAAAAAATTCAAGAAGAAGGAAGACTTCCAAACACGTTCTATGAGGCCAGCATAATTCTATTCCCAAAACCAGAAAAAGACACTACAAAGAAAGAAAACTACAGGCCAATATTCCTGATGAACATAGACGCCAAAATCCTGAACAAAATATTAGCAAATCGGATCCAGAAATACATCAAAAAAATTATTCACCATGACCAAGTGGGATTCAGTCCAGGGATGCAAGGCTGGTACAATATTCGCAAATCAATAAACGTGATACACCACATAAACAAAATGAAGAATAAAAACCACATGATCATATCAATAGATGCTGAAAAAGCATTCGACAAAATCCAGCATCCATTTCTGATTAAAACGCTCAGCAATGTAGGAATAGAGGGATCATATCTCGACATAATAAAGGCCATATATGAAAGACCTACAGCCAACATCATACTCAATGAACAGAAACTAAAAAATTTCCATTAAGAACAGGAACAAGACAGGGATGTCCACTTTCGCCACTCTTATTTAACATTGTACTGGAAGTCTTAGCCACAGCAATCAGACATGAAGAAAAAATAAAAGGGATCCAAATTGGAAAAGAGGAAGTGAAACTGTCATTATTTGCAGATGACATGATATTGTACATAG